GTGCAGGCTGTCTATCATGTGACAGTGTCCTCCAACCCGGGGGTAATTCGGTTGCGGTGCCTTGCTCGGCGCCGTTTGACTCGGGAAGTGTCCGGTCAGGCGGGGTTTTCCCGGGGGTTCCCAATGTAATGGCCGATGCTCTATATTGTTCACTGTGGGACGTATTTCGGTTGGGGGCTCCGCGGGGCCCAAATCTTAGTGGACTGATGAAGCTGGTCCATGGGTCGATCTGAGGCGGCATGGGGCTCGCTACAGTAGGGTGTGAGTGATCAGGGCAGATGGGTGCGTTCCTTTGGGGGGGGTTTCTGGATTAGACTGCTTGTCTGCATGTTTTACTCAGTCCCCTAAGGGCATTGGGGGCTGGGGGGGGTAGTCCTCCTTAGTGAGTTCTTCGATTTCAGGGCTTGTCTTACCGGTCATGTTACGGTTGTCTGCAGGTGGGAGGGGTTTTGGTGGGGTTGGGTAAGCATCGGAACGGACTTCATTCAGGTTTCGCCACTCGACGGCAGTTGTGTTTGGGAAGGGTAAGTTGGTAGCGGTTGCCTGGTTCATCAATAGAATCTGGTCAATTCTTGGATGCTGAGGGGGACATAACCTGGCCCTTCCACATTCTCCAGAGATAGATGGAATGCACAGGGTAATAGTTGGGCTCCTAGCGTGAAGTACTAGGTACCCAGGATAGTCTGAAATATACAGTTCGATTGGGGGCGGTGCCGGGTTCTGACGTTTGTCCTGTTTTCCTTAGGTGAGTGCTATTCCGTCCCCTGGATTATTCAGCCTCCTCACCCCTTGTTTGGTTCTCAATGATGGGTTTTCTCTCCTGCCTCTATTTCGTTGGGGTGTTCCACTTGGGGCTCGAATTCCTGAGGCAATTAATTTTAGTAAATGCTGTGGCCTGTTTCATCCATACTATGTTGACTGTCATTATTTTGGAAGGGGGATGATTTGGGTTGGTTTATGTATTATGCTGCATCGCGATTCCCCACTACGTACATACATGATAGGTTTTGTAGGTTGCAGCCTCATATTCATGCTTTGTTTTTATCCCTGTTCAAATCTATTTAGTTTTGCAACCTTCTGCGGTATAAGCCTGTCACAAAACAACTTTTATTACACCTTTCTTCAACACTAAAGAACATGGACTAAATGTGTAGTGTGACTTGTTAGCACACTACCAAAGATTTACAGGGTTATTCAATATAGTGAAAATTTTAAGGAATTCTCTCATTTAAGGTAGAAATAGCTTAACTGGAAAAATCTTCTTAGTCGGCCATGCTTGCAGTTCGACTACTTTGGCCTTAAATTTAATATTCACCTTGAATTCACTTGGACATCTCATGTTAGTGAATAACCCTGAATAATGCTAGCAATTCTTATCTACTTCTCATCAAGCCTTTTTATACAACAACTATAATGCTAGTGTATAGAGATATACACAACAGACAAGGCTTGTGTTTTAGTTTCTGCCAGTGTCCTCTTATCATCTGTAATACAATTTAAAATGTTTTTTGTTGTTGCTTGTTTTCTTGTTGGGGTGATAGGATAATCTTTACACTTTTACTTTTTATGTAAAATGTTCTTTTTTGTAAGGATACCATCTAAATAAGCTCTATAACAAAAGTTATTCCATTAATCTTTACTTAAAAAAAAAAAAATACTCAGTTTTTTTAAATAATGTACTTGAAACTCATTGGGACAACTTTCTCCTTGCTAAGTTATAAATCTGAAACAAAATGACTAATTTATTTCAAATACAGAAAACAGAGAGAACAAATACCACCAGACCTCTATCTGACCATGACATTTTGTTGTCATTTTTTATTTTTGTAAGAATGGAAAAATTGTTGTTTCACTACATCATCTTACTGCTACGTGGGATCATGGGCAAAGATTATAAAAAAAATAAATCACAATAATAAACCTTTTCTTATACAGAGTAATACTTGTGAATTCTTAAATAAGCTTTAGTAATATACATACAATTATTGTTATTTACTGTAACTAGTACATATTTCTTTGAATTTGAAAGCTTGAAAACATGAAAGGTACATCATCGTTTATGCTTTGTTCTGACAAACAAAACCTAGAATTTGTCTATATCTCTGTTAAACCATAATTTACCTCTTTTGTATGAAATGCTACCACTCTTGTAGATCATTTTGTTCAGGAGAAATAATGCTTTATTTTACATCAAATATTTAATATGAAACATAATTTATGAGTAAAACCTAAAGTGTGAGAGATTAAGAAATGTTATTTTCATGGTTCTGTATGGAATTTTAACTGTGAATGTCATAATAGTATTAGTTTTTACTGCAATAAAATAACACATATTTGTGTTCCTCGATGTCTCACAAATATAAAAGTATAACCCTTGTAAAGGATTTATGGAGTTTTGGAAAGTTACATGGTCAAATATAGGGCTTTCCCCTTTTTTCAGTTTTTACACATTGAAATTTGCCAGATTGGTTTATTGGGCCTCTGTTGCCTTTGAGTCCATATGGCAGCCGGGGAATGAAAATTACCTTCATCATTGCATAGCATTTGCAAACGTTGACAACCTAGGGTATTCAAAATGGGGCATGTCCAGTCTTTTTTTAGTAACCACGTAGTCACAAACCCTGGCCAAAGTTAACCCGTTCAGTCGTTACCCGTTTCCCAATTTATCAGGGTGCTTCAAAATAATTATGATCAGTCTCATTCCGAGGAACAAAATTTATAACATATTAAAAATGTTATTGCAAAGTGGATACTCCAAAATAGTTTACCATGCACAGGTACAAAAGGAAATAGGTGATTGATCAGTTTTTCCCACAGGTATTTCATCTCTTGTCACAGTAACTAGCAACTTATTCATAACAACTGGAGTGTCCTATGTAAAGATAAATCATTCAGCAGACTGCCATCATGAGTTACAGATGTGGCAAAAACTTGAGACTTTCTATTCCATGCCAATCAACATACCTTTTACAACAACGATCTTTGACCTAGAATAGCTATTACCATTGCTTGCAATTTTATGTTAACCGGGAAATCATTCTGTCACCCACATTCTGAAAAATAATTTGAAATTAGTCATTGACTAACCTGTACCACTATCCATGTGGTATAACTTATATCAGAAAAGCATCCAATAACTTAAGGAAACATATGCAAGGACACAGGTCGGCTATAAGCAATTCCCATCTCAATGGATCTTCAAACACTTTGGCCTGGTTCCTGGTTAATACCAACATGCAGTTTGACAAGGCAAATGCCTTGTTAGCTTTGCAGTATATACATCACTGATGATCATTGTAATGGTTTTACCTTGGGTGGAGTCTGAAGTGCAGAGATGTTTGCTCACACTTGCAAATAGACAGACTAAGGTGGTCAGGTAAGAATTCACCTGGTCTGTGAGTCAGTGCACAGGGCTGTGCAGGGACAATAACCAGGTACGAGGAAACAGACAAGGGCAAATCCAGGAGAGTAGTCAGGCAAGTTTCCAAAGGTCAGGTCAGGCAGCGAACAGGCAATAGCGAAGATCCAGAAGCAGGAGTCACAAACCAAGTCAGTCTTAAGCAACAGGAATCAGGATACAATGAACTGACAAAGTTCCCAGGGCAAGGCAGTGCTTATATACCAAGCTGATTAATATCTGTTCAGCTGGACTAGATAGACCGGAGCAGCCACGGGTAAAGTCCAGCCCCCTGTGCTGGAGACAAGGTGAGAATAAACATAAGTTTAAACAAGAACTGGAGAGTGGCTCTGAGGCAAGACAGCAGGACTACAGCACAGAAGGACCACAGTTCCAGTCCCCTGTTGGGCACTTCTGGGGCAACCACGTCTGGATGTCACGGTGAGAGTCGTTACAACCATGATGCCCAATTGCTTGAAAGGGAAGCACACTTTGGGAACCTTGGCTCCCCATGGATTTAATGAAAATATCTCTTTGCACTGCTTTCTTTCTAGCAGATATGTTGTTTATATGATTTCTGACATTATATTTCATTGTAGGCTGTTCATCATTGTTTTTCCCTGTATTCAATAGTGATTTATATTATTGTTTTCACTTGTACTTTACATATTAATCTTTAGCCCTGCAGATTTGCAGCCTTGGTATATACTTTGTTACTTTGAGAATTTAGATTGCTACTATGTTTAGAGTTATGATTACAGAATATTATACTTTAAAGTTTGGTTATATTGTATATTCATTGTATATATGTATAAACAGTTTAAACATTGGGGTGGACGTTGGGTCTAGCACATTTTTTAAGTTAGTAATGTTATGAACAGTATATATTTACGTTGCTTAAGCATTTCAAAGCAAAACATAACACGGGACAACATCGCTTGTATCTTTCTAGATAGTAGGGTTTTACGCTATGTCATAAGCTAGTCAAACATAAGATAAGTATACTAAAGTTACATGAGTAAGATTAAAGCAACACAGCATATAATTAGGAGTCTGCAGGCTATAATCACATAAGTATTTGGTCACTGATATTTACGGATCTAGTTCACATATAAGTAAAACAACTTTAGGCCAAACAGCGAGAACGTTAGCATAAGATAGGGTGGTCCATGTTTAACATAGCTTGTTAATCTTTGCTAGTGTAGTTGTAGTGTCGTGATGTGTTTTGCATTATAACGATATCTGGACCATATGTGTTGTATATACAGGTTGCACCACTCCCATACATGCTGTGTTGCATGAAATAAAAATGTTAAAGAAAGAAAGAAAACACATAACACTTAACAATTAACAGTGCTAGAGCTTGCCTACAGCATAAGGTGGCATCCTTACACATTCCACATGCTAATGAAAACATTTGTGTGTTGAGTAATAAAGGAAACTTGCGTGGGTTTGAGTTAGTCTATGCACATTCATGCTTAATATGTAGTTGCTTGATCTCGAGGAATACCTCTCTATGGTCCCCTATGTGAGCTGTTGGAAGGGATGTGCAGGGATCGGTTGCGTACAGACAGGTGTGGGAGTTCATCTGAGTTAAGAAAAATTAGTGAAAAAATAAATAGAAATAAAAATAAAAGAAGTCCTTTGCTAGGCAATGAGTCCCAGTGCTGTGTGGTTCATCCAATGCCTTGTAGAGGCTCCCCTTGTGCTGTGATGTGAGCTGCAGTTCTCCCAGTCCGGTGATGCGTGGGTGGAGTGTCTGAGTGTAGGCCGGCATCTGCTGTGGTAGGTATGATGTGGCTCTGATAGAGGGCCCTGCCTGACTGTGTGTCTGTAGGCTGAGTCTGTGCTTGTGGAGTTGTGCTATCGCGGCCCCCATGGTGAGCCCTGTGGTCCGCCGTTTGTTGATGCGAATGGGGTGGTCCGCACCTCTCCCAGGCTGTTTCACGGCCGTACGGCGAGTTTGATTTCCGCGCCGCCTTCGCACTGCAGCGCCCCCAGTATGTTTTACCTGGGTCCAGCTGTGTTTGTCCTTAGTGAGGCTTCGGGTCTCCGCTAGCAGGGCAGTCTTTCTCGAGGGCCTTTGGGGTCCGGGAAGGGAGCCGGCGGTGTATGCCGGTACTCCCATCCAGGTCCCTCGTGCTGGTTCTTGTGTCTTGCCATCCGGGTGGGTCCCCTGCTCCGAGGGCCACGCGAGTTTCTCCAGCTGCTCCCAGAAGGAGTCGAATATGCGGGTGAGCCGGAGCTCCGTGTCTCGTCTGGCCTTGTGAAGGGCCGAGGCATGGTTGCCGTCCGCCATTTTGTCGGCCTTGTCTGCAGTTTGCACACCGCGTGGTTGTTTTGTCCGCTCATCTCCTTTCAAGGGGATCGTGAGGGGGTGGACCGGGATGACCCCCGCCGGTCCGGGGGGGGAGGAACGAGGGCTTGGAGGCCAGTACCTGGCTGGTACAGGCAGCAGGAAAGCGGCCGTCTTCCCCGCGCCTGCCATGCTGGTAGGCCCCGTCTTGAGTGTGGGTGCGCCTGAGGGGCATCGTCGCTTGTCTGGTGTCTGTTTGTGCGCCCCATTGTCGCCTGTCGCTTGATGGCTATGAGGAATCAATTTAGTGCCTTTTTGGGGTCTTAAATCCGCTTTGGTTGCCCTGAGATGCAGGAGCTGGTGAGGCATGCTTCCTCACAGTTCCGCGGTCAGGCCCCTCCCCCCTTGATCTCCCCTTTTAACTCTCCACATCTCTGTGTCGCGTATGTATAGTTTCTGAAGTACATTTAGTTTTTTTGCACAAATTCTCGTTTTTGGGTTTTCCCACTCACAAAAATTGGTAAAGGGTTTATACTGGTGGATGATGTATTTAAAACTTTGACATGTCATCGCTGATATCATTAGTCTTGTTTTCATCTTACTCACCCTACAATGATATGCATATAATGTTTTATTTAATGGTTATTACTATTATTATTATTATTGCCATTTATATAGCGCCAACAGATTTCATAGTGCTTTATAATATTATTAGAGGGGAGATTTAACTATAAATAGGACAATTAGAAGACAGCTTACAGTCTATAGGTGGTGGGGTATAAAACACAATAGGGCAGAAAATTGCAATTAAATAAGGATGTGAGTGAAGCAGAGCTGGAGGAGAGAGTAGAGTGCTGCCCTTTAGGAGAGAGCAAGAGACAGGTATGTAAGGTAGAGGTTACTCTGGGAGGCCATAAGCTATCCTAAAGAGATGTGTTTTAAGGCACTTCTTAAAAGATGCAAGACTAGGGGAGAGTCTGATGGTGGTAGGCAGGCTTTTCGTTAGGAAGGGAGTTGCCCGTGAGAAGTCCTGCAAGCATGAGTTGGCCGTACAGGTGCGAACAATGGACAGGAGGTTGTCACGTTCATTGGTGCATTGTTTTATTGTCTTGATAAAAGTCCTTAGGGACTGAAACATTCATGAGAATGCACTCTATTGGGAGATTATATACATATTAACCCCTTAGTGACCAGACCATTTTTAAGTTTTCTTACCGTTAAGGACCAGGGCTGTTTGACCTCTAAAATCTGTTACGCATATACAACCGCCAAAAAACACCTATGCTAAATAGTTTCTAAATTTTGTTCTTAGTTTAGAAATACTTAGTTTAGCATGTTCTTAGCTTTTGTTGAAAGTTATAGTGCAAAAAGTACAAGTAGCGCGTTGCTTTTTCCAAACCATTTTTTTTTTCAAAATTAACGAATGTTACATTGTAACACTGATATCTGTCAGGAATCCCTGACTAACCCTTCACATGTATATATTTTTTCAAATAAGATAACCTAAGGTATTAAACTTGGGGTATTTTGACTCTTGCGACCACTTTACCACCAATCTATGCCAAATTTAAAAAAAAATAATAATTGGTGATTTTTTGACACACAGAGCAATTTAAGAATACATGTACTGAGAACTTTAAGGGTTTCTGACAAAGAACACCCCGATATGTGTTCAGAAACATCTCCTGGATACAGTGAAGCCATCCATGTATAGGTGTGTCGAGTTCTCTGGGGTCTAAAAGATCTTATTTGGAGGGTGTTTGGTCATCATGCACCCATGTCCTATTTGGGACATTTTTTAAGCCGACCAATGTAATTTCCCCCCATCAAACCCTATATTTTTGAAAAGTAGACACACTAGGGTATTTCAAATGGTGGTATGTTAATACTTTTCATGCACTAATTCTACCACCAGTCTTTGTCAATTCTTTGGTTGGTAATTTTTTTGTGTTATTTTTCTCTCACATTGTACTTCAGGCATGGATTCTCAATTCATGTTATGTGTTACTGACAAAAAACATCCCAATATGTGTTCAGCAACATCTCATGAGTACAGTGATACCACCTATGCATAGTTTTGTTGGGTTGTTTGGGGGGTGCAATGCCAAACTTCTGACTTGTTTTTCAAATTTGACATATCTTCATTTTGTAGCCTTTTTACATATCCTGAATTTATTTTCTTGCCATGAACGCACATATATTTGAAAAGTTGACTCCCCAGGGTATTGTATATGTAGTGTTTTGATGACTATGATGCAACTGTTTTAGCCAAACAAATTGGAGAAAATGTGTGGTTGTAATTTTTCTATTTTAATTTTTACACACACATTGTGTGTGATTTGAGGGAGCCTGTTGTTAATTATTGCAAGTAAACACTCCTGGTTGTTTTCTGCAAGGCCTCCTGAGTTCACTCATGAACTTGATCATAAAAATAGTCTGGCGCAGTAAAATTAAAAAAAACAAAAACAATTCAGGAACAGTAAACATAACCCAAAAAAAAAACTGAACGGCAAATGTAAAAAAAAAAATGAACCAGTGTGTGATATCGGTGTACTTTCTCTGCCCCCTCTTGAAACAGACTGCATCTTATATGAGGATTCTGCTTTGCCGCAGTAGGGGGATTTTAAAAATAAAGTGGGTAGCCCTAACTCTGCTCTTTACCATCACCTTTCGGGGAGCAGGTGCATCTTGGTACAAAATCCACAAAATGATCTGGAGCTAAAACTGTAAAAAAGTCAGGTTCATTCCGGGATTTGCTTTTTTGAACAACAAAAAAGTGTTGTAGGTTGCAATCTGCATTAAGTAAATTGCAACCTTTTTGTACCAGGTCCTTGTCTTGCGTATAATTAGGTAGGGCTGCAGCAGGTGATCTGGAAGATCAACCTCACCCATATGCCTGTTATAAGCTTTGATGCACAATGGCTTCCTTGTGCCACGTACAGGGACCTCCACAATCTCAGTGTGGATGGTGGTAAGAAGGTACACATCCTTCTTGTCTCTGTACTTAACTGCTAACTGCTCCTCTTGGCAAAGAGCTAGGGTCTCCCCCCTTCCTAGTCAGGTGCGTGCTTTGTTCTTTCTGATTGTACCACAAGCTACTGTATGAAAACAATACAGTAGCTTGAACAAAGGGACAATTGTATAAAAATTGTCTATATACAAATGGTACCCTTTGTTCATCAGAGGGAATATCAGGCCCCAGGCAATCTTGCCACTGGTTCCCATATGTTCTGGACAACCTGGAGGGTCAAGGTGGCTATCCTTTCCCTCATACACCCAGAAGGCCTGAGTACAACCAGTATCGCTCTCACCTTTACACCATACCTGGAGCGCTTGGAAGGAATATACTGCTTGAATCCCAGTCTTCCTTTATACTTCATCAGGGATTCATCCACACATATATTCCTTCCAGATGTATAAGCCTCTGCAAACCTGGCAGCAAAGTGGGTAATCAGGGGGCAGATTATATACAGCCTGTCAAACTGGGGGTGCTCCATAGGGGGGCACAGGCTGTGGTCGCTGAAGTGCATGAAATGTAGAATCATTTCATACCTCTTCCTTGACTGGGAGTAGAGCAGATGGGGCTACTGCTCCAGGAGGGCTTCTTTATGATGCCCATCAGCATAGTCAATTCCCAGAATTTTTTTGTATTCTGGCACATCGATGGGGGCCCATTGCTGATTTGCCAAAAAAAGAGTCAGACTTTGAAGCACAGAACTGATAGGCATATAAATTAGTTTGGGCGACAATGTTCCCCAATACATAATTTCTCAGAAACACCTCCATAAACTGTTGGGGGCTAAATCCTGTGACATCCACATTGAAGCCAGGACTTTCAGTGAAGTGGGGGATATCTGGCCTCTGGCGATAAGGCGCTACACACGCCTCAGCAGTACTGCCAGCTGGAGCAGCACTTCTTCTAGAAGCCACAGATACATCATAACTAGACACATCACTAGCAGCATACACTGTATCTAGTGATATATCTGAGCACCTGGCAGGGTCAAAATCAGGGTCGGAGTCAGACATAGATGCATCAGACTCTACCACAAGGATGGCATACACCTCCTCAGCACTATACAACCTCTGTGACATGATCACAATCACTTTATTTAGTGACCTGTCACATAAAAAAAAAAATCACTAAAACAAATTAATCCCTAAAAAAATGAACAGACAGCAAAATAAGTGCTGCTGTGCAAGAGCCTGTGAGCTATAAAGTGATCACTGGCAGGATAGGGGTTAATAGCTCTGAAAATAGCCTTTGGGTCTCAGAAATAAAAAAAAATCACTAAAAAATGAACCCGTAAAAAATGCAATACAGCAAAAAAGTGCTGCTGTGCAAGAGCCATTGATTAATAGTGATCACTGGCAATATAGAGGTTAATGGATCTGAAAAGAGCCTTTCGGTCTCACAATTTTACAAATTCCTACCTAAAATGACCTACCGGTAAATCTCTCTACCTAATCACAGATCTCTCTCTCTCACTAAAACAGGAGTGAAGAGAGGGACGGAGATCCACACTGATCAGAGTCAATATTTACTAATATTGACCTGACCAGACAAATGGGGATGATAGTAATAATAAATATTATTATAGGGGCAAGCTCTGATTGGAGGACCCTAGCTTACCTCTATGATAACGCAGGCCAGGGACACCCCCAAAATCCCCATTAGAAAGGCAGCACTATATTGGAAGCCACATGGCTGGGAACGGGGGAGATAATTACATATATTTTATTCTTTTTTTTTTTAAAATTGATTTTATTTATTTTATTGATTTTATTTAAGTCTTTACTGAGTGCCTCGACCACTCTAGGCACTCAGCACA